ACATGGTTTACAGCAAAAAGCGGCACCTATTTCTCGTTGTTTATGAATTTAGTGGTGCAACAAATGAAGTGGTTCTTTATTGGGAAAACACTGATTCTCAGTTAGCAAACAGTAAAGGAAGCACAATCAAAGGTATGTTTGTCCAGTGAAAATGCTTATTTATTCTTGCAGCTCTTTAGTGTACCATTTTGCATGTATCTAGTCACTTATAGTATTTTTCTTTGAGCTTGTAGGTCGAGATGCTGCATTTATTGGTCCCAATGACAATCAGTTTGCAATTCTTGATGATGATAAGACAGGATTGTCCTTATACATCCTTCCAGGATTAGCAGCATTGGATGCTAATGAGAAGAATTTATTAGCTGAAGAGAACCAATCTGGGGACTCGAATGTTCATGCTATTCAGGGTCCACTACAGTTTATGTTTGATACTGAAGTTGATCGTATCTTCTCTACTCCCATAGGTGCTCGAGGAAATAAGATCTTTCATAATAAATATCTTGGTCATCATTAGTAGTTTTTTCAGTTAATTAGATCATGCTGATTAATGATTCAGTATCTCCTGTGATTGCAGAGTCTACTTTGATGTTTTCTTCTAATGGGAGCCAGATTGGCTTGGCAAAGTTGGTTCAAGGGTACCATCTTTCAACTAAAGATGGTCACTATATCTCAACAAAATCTGAAGGAAGAAAGGGCATCAAATTGAAAGCAAATGAAATTGTGCTCCAGGTAACCTGTTAAATGTTTTAGCTCGCTTGCCACTGATTGTCACATATAAAAATTAGGTAATTATTGAATGCATGGAGGTTGGAGCCTTTGGTGTAAAGAAATCTCCCTTCTTCTCTCAATAAGGAACTGAAGCATTTATTGGCTTGTTCTTTGTCACTTTTCTTTTGATCATGGTGTTCTGCTGACTTGAATGCCCTTGATTACAATTGTTAATTCTGCACAGATTTGCAAGATATGTTGCACAATGTGCAGTCCAGACATGTTGAAAATATAATTTTCCAGTTATTTTGGTGCATCAGAGCGTTATAGGCTAAAGTTGAAAAGTTATTATTAGTACCTGTCGGAAAATTTTCTTAATAGTTGGTACATTCACCATTCAATTCTGAGCATTGCTAGAAAAGGCCAGATGCAGCTTTGCTGTTTCTTCAGGCAACAGGACATTCCTTCTAGATGCTTATTTTGTATATGGGAGAAATGTAATGCATGAAAAGGACAGATGGAAGGCTCTGGTAGGGATTTCCTCCTATATTATCAATAAAAGAATTGCTGACGGGGAAGGGCTGCACTTAAAGTCTAAAGCATGATAACTCCTTAACTTGAAAACCATAAATAATAAATGGGTTTGGCATTTTGTAAATGAGATGTTGACACATATTAGTAGTGGTGGCAATGTGCCTGATTTGGCTAGGGGAGGGAGAGAGATGCTGATGGTGAGTAGAGTGAGGGTAGTTATTGCATTAATAATTCGTTGAAAATTTGTGAGATTCATAGGTTGAAGAGCTTATTAGAGATTGGCCATGACAAAATTTTCTTATTGTGTATGTGGTTCATGGACCAATCCAATATTTTCCTTCTATATCAAATAACAGCTGGTAATTTTGCTCTCTAAAGGTGCACTGGCAAGAGACTCTCAGAGGCTATGTTGCTGGAGTCTTAACGACACAAAGAGTGCTGATTGCTTCTGCAGATTTAGAAATACTGGCAAGCAGTTCCGTCAAATTTGATAGAGGACTACCATCAATATCCTGAACATTATCATGAAAATATTTTCTTGCATACAAGCACATGGCTACATAAATGCACATGCATAGACATATTTACTTTCTCATTCTTTGTACTTCAAGATTTGTCCAAACACTTAACTTTTGTGCACTTTAGATCCCTCTTATGGGTTGGGCCTGCTCTTCTTTTTTCAACTGCTACTGCCATCAGTATATTGGGCTGGGATGGAAAAGTGAGGACCATTCTCTCTATTAGCATGCCCTATGCAGGTTTGTAGGTTTTATCTGTTTTGTATTCCTAGGTGACACCATAGTTTAGGTTATTTGGATAATGTAGGCCTTAAATTTATTATCTGAATACATAGATTGGTTACTAAAACAGTTTGTCTATGCAGCATTGGTTGGTGCCTTGAATGATCGATTGTTGCTTATTAACCCAACTGACATAAATCCCAGACAAAAGAAAGGGGTTGAGATCAAGAGCTGTCTTGTTGGACTTCTTGAACCTCTTCTTATTGGGTTTGCCACAATGCAACAATTTTTTGAGCAGAAGCTTGATTTGTCAGAAATACTGTACCAGATAACATCAAGGTTTTCTTTTTTCTTCCCTTTTCTTGAGGGTATTAACCCTTAATATTTTAGTTTAAGGCTGCTGACAACCAACATACATATGTTTTGTTTGAATGAAGGTTTGACAGCTTGCGCATTACTCCTAGATCTCTTGATATTCTTGCTAGAGGTCCTCCTGTTTGTGGTGACCTTGCTGTGTCATTAGCTCAAGCGGGTCCACAGTTCACTCAGGTGAGCAAAGGATGATGCATTATAGTTATGTTTCATAGCTTATGAGTCTGTGTTTAATCTAAAAAAGAGTTCTAAATACATTCTGGAACAAACTTAGGTGTTACGTTGTGTCTACTCAATCAAAGCCCTCCGTTTTCCTACGGCGTTATCTGTTCTAAAGGATGAATTCTTGCGCTCTAGAGATTATCCGAAGTGTCCTCCAACTTCTCTTTTGTTTCATCGGTTCCGGCAATTGGGATATGCATGTATCAAGTAAGCAGATTTTGTTTTTTCTATGTTACTGTTCATGTAACCTTATATTTGTGCGTGCAATAGTTATGGTGCACTAGATTCTTCAGGGATGACTTTCTTTCTTTTCTTTTTTTGGAATAAAAATAATATGGTAAGATTCATGCACAAGCACCGACATGTGCAAACCGATGTACTCTTCAAGGATGACTTTCATTTTTAGTTCTTTCAAACTGTTTATGAAGAATCTCATTGTTATTCTTCTTGTCAACTCCTTATATGTAAAGGTGGGTTACAGGTTACTTCTCTGTCTCTGAAATTGGAAGATGAAATTCATATTGCTTTCTTCTATTTAGTGGATGTAATATCTGGCATATGGTTTCCACATGGATTTCTAATATAATCTGCCTTACTGCTTAAAACTTTTAAATCTTACTTGTTCATGTTAGTTTAAGCTTCCTGTTACTATTGCACTGTGTTTCTGACAGGTGAAAATGCTACCTGCACAATTACCTCCCCCCTTCTCATGTCCTGATTCACACATAATTACTGGCCTTTAATCATAGGAAAAACGCTATGGATAATTTATCTTATGACATGTATAATACTTTTTGGGATCTTGTTTATCATAGATCAATTTTTTGCTTAACGATATGAAATATTGAAATTGCAGGTATGGTCAGTTTGATAGTGCCAAAGAAACATTTGAAGTCATTGCAGACTATGAAAGCATGCTGGATCTTTTTATATGCCACCTCAACCCCAGTGCAATGCGACGTCTAGCTCAGAGATTGGAAGAGGAAGGTGGTGATCCAGAATTGAGGCGATACTGTGAGAGGATTTTAAGAGTCCGCTCCACTGGATGGACTCAAGGAATTTTTGCCAATTTTGCAGCTGAGAGCATGGTTCCTAAAGGACCTGAATGGGGTGGTGGGAACTGGGAAATCAAGACTCCTACTGATATGAAGAGCATACCTCAGTGGGAATTAGCTGGAGAAGTGATGCCATACATGAAGACTGACGATGGTTCTATCCCTTCAATTATTACTGATCATATTGGTGTTTATCTGGGTTCAATTAGAGGGCGGGGAACTATTGTGGAAGTAAGAGAAGATAGCCTGGTCAAAGCCTTTATGCCTACAGGAAGTGATAATAAGCCAAATGGACCAGGTACATCTTTGGTTACATCTATATCTGATAAGTCCAATGGGGTGCTTGATGGTCAATCAAAGACTGGTTCCTTGATGGGTCTAGAAGCTCTCATGAAACAAAATTCTGGTTCAACTGCTGCTGATGAACAGGCAAAAGCTGCTGAAGAATTCAAGAAAACAATGTATGCTGCTGCTAATGATGGTAGCAGCAGTGATGAGGAGGGAGTATCGAGAACTAGAAAGCTACAAATTAGAATTCGAGATAAGCCAGCCACCTCTACAACAGTTGATGTCAATAAGATTAAAGAAGCCACAAAACAGTTTAAGCTTGGTGATGGATTGGGCCCTCCAATGAGTAGAACAAAATCCTTAACTGTTGGATCACAAGACCTTGGTCAGATCTTAATGCAACCTCCAGCCACTACTAGCGGAACTGTTACAGCTCCCTCAATTTCCAGTCCTGCTGATCTTTTCAGTACTGAATCATGGACCCAACCTGCACCAGTTGCACAGCATGCTCCAGGGGTCAAGGGTCTGGGAGTCACAGCTGGTCCTATACCGGAGGATTTCTTTCAGAATACAATTCCATCACTTCAGGTTGCAGCCTCACTTCCTCCTCCTGGAACTTATCTTGCAAAACTGGACCAAACTTCTCAAGGGGTTGAAAGCAATAAAGTATCACCTAATCAGGCAAATGCATCTGCACCTGATATCGGTTTTCCTGATGGTGGTGTGCCTCCACAAGCTAGTCAACAGCCTGACCTTGGTGTTGAGTCTGTTGGACTTCCGGATGGTGGTATTCCTCCACAAGCTCCTAGTCAAGTCATTCACATGTCACAGCCTCAGATTCCACTTCCCACACAACCCCTTGATCTTAGTGTCCTTGGAGTTCCAAATTCCAATGATTCAGGAAAACACACTCATCCTGGCTCTCCACCAGCATCTGTGCGTCCTGGACAGGTGAAGATACATGTGTTACAAGTTTGTTTGTGTGCATGCATGCATATCAGGAACATACATGCAGGACTTGCCTATAATTAAGTAGAAAAGTTCTTGAAATTTTTTCTGTAGTATTTTCTTATTTGAGAAGTATTTAGGTTAAATGAATAAAAGACCAATTTGAAGAATAAATCATCATCATTTTGTTATCTTATTTTGTTCCAAACAGAAAAACTGCATCACTATGTTATCTTTCACGATCTATGTGGAGGTATAGTTGAAGGAAAATGATGACCTGCTATTGAATGGTGATATCCCTTCCCTTTTGTTGCTTTTTAGTGTTTTTGTAGCAGTGAAAAAAGGGAAAATCTTCTCTTAAACATACTTTTTATGCTATGTGTTCATTCTGCAGCTATGTGGCTCTATCTCAGATCTGTTTGTGTGTGACAGTTAATTTAACCAGAAAAAAATAAAAAGGAGCTAAGCAATTTATGATTCTAATATTATCGTGGGGTTAAAATTCAAGTAGTGAAGTATGATGTGCATATAGATAGGAGACCAGATCTATAAGGTTTAGCGGGCCACAAGTTTCCTTTCTCGGTTGCTTCTTTTGCACAAATTCCTTATAGACTCTTCCTGGGAGATGTTTGGGATTGGCATCCAGCATGTATTTGTAACTATTCCGTGATGACAAATTTTGCAAGGAATCACATATATGTTATTTGTTTATATTTTCATGGCTATTTGTACAACAGGTTCCCCGTGGGGCAGCTGCTCCTGTGTGTTTCAAGACTGGTCTTGCTCACCTTGAGCAGAATCAACTTCCAGATGCATTATCTTGTTTTGATGAAGCTTTTCTTGCGCTAGCAAAGGACCACTCTCGCGGGGCTGATATTAAGGCTCAAGCAACCATTTGTGCTCAGTACAAGATAGCTGTAACTCTTCTTCAGGTGCTGTTACTTTTACCCTTCAAATAAAATAAATGAATTCTTACTGCTTCATCCAAATATATCTGCAGAAATATGGTGTAGTCTATATCAATGTTTGAGACAGTTTCTCTCTGCAAAAGTTGCCATTGTACATTGCTGAAGCTTTGGAAAGACCAAAACCGACTTACAGAAATCAGAAAATTACCAAAAAACCTAATTTACTAGAATGAAAAACCTTTATCAAAACCAGTTTTATCCTAAAAAAACAAATAATTGATTCTTTAAAATTATTTAGTTTTTCGTTTCAGTATTTTCCAGATTTGAGAGCTTTAAGAGCAATTGAGTGTTAAGCAATAGTTGGAACACTATTCTAGTACAAAGTTTACATATCTAAATTGGAAAAAACAAATTGGTATTTTAGTAAAATCAAAATACCAAAATTTTGCAAAATGGAAAACTGGAACAAAATTACCAATTTGCAGATTTTCACCAAATTTTCATTTTATCTCTGAATTACTCAACCAAATTTACCGAAAACGTATTGAATCCATTCGATTATCAGTTTTCAGTACCATACTTCCGTCCCTAGTTTCAAACTATCCAAAAGTGAAAAGTGTGACCAGATTCTTGAGATGATCTGGTAAATAGACCTGGCAAATTCTTGGACATATTGGCAAACTCTTATAAAAGCAGTATGTATTATAATGCATGTGTCAATTAACTCCTTTTGCTGCTCAATCTCAACAAGCTTTTATTCAATTAAGTTTTCTTGGAAGTTTCCGATATCCCAAGTTTTGATGTTCAAGATCTAGTTAGAGGTTAGAGGTTCAACTTTGGCTCTATGTTGGAGGGCCGGTCTTTGCCTTTCACATGCATTGCATGGAAACTAAAGACTAGGATCTTGACTAGATACCACATGTAGAAACTAATGAATGCACTTGTGCTTGCAGTTTCTTCCGTATAACAGTAATTAGTACTCATGATTTAATAAGCTAAGGTAGTGTTATTTTCAAAAAAAAATTAGCCAAGGTAATGTTTTGTTCAGGATTAAACTAACCAGCCTGATTCCAATCACTATAGTTGTGCTCCTCTTAGATCCAATCTTCCTAATGTTTTTTTTTTTTTTGGGAATATGTTATCTTGTAAGATTTCAGATTTGCGTGGGTGGTTTCTTGCTGTTTTACCATCAATAACTTAACATATATTTTTTCTTGTGGTTGGACTCCATTTGCTCCACTCTAGGAAATTGCAAGACTGCAGAAGGTCCAAGGTCCAAGTGCAATCAGTGCAAAAGATGAAATGGCAAGACTGTCGAGGCATCTGGGTTCCTTACCTCTTCTCGCAAAACATCGTATAAATTGCATCCGCACTGCCATTAAACGAAACATGGAGGTGCAGAACTATGCATATTCCAAGCAGATGTTGGAACTTCTCCTGTCGAAGGCTCCTCCTAGCAAGCAGGAAGAGTTGAGAGGCCTGGTTGATTTGTGTGTTCAGAGAGGTTCATCCAACAAGTCCATAGATCCACTAGAAGATCCTTCCCAGTTCTGTGCTGCTACACTCAGCCGTCTGTCTACCATAGGATATGACGTTTGTGATCTTTGTGGGGCCAAATTTTCAGCGCTCTCAACACCTGGATGTATTATCTGTGGTATGGGAAGTATCAAAAGATCAGATGCACTGGCCGGACCTGTTCCGTCACCATTTGGCTGAGATTAAAAGTCAGCAATTTTAAATTCTCTGCTCCAGAGAATTCTCATGGACAATTGGCATTACTGTTGTAGATTTTCACCGACACCATAACAGAAACTATCATCGGAAGAGTGTTTCAAACAGTTTAATTATAGTGATATTTAGCTGCATCCATTTGTGTATATGATTTTTCTTTCCCCTTTTGATGAAATGTAATCGATTATGTAACCTTTACCCCATTTGTTCATTGTAATATTTGTTCCTTCCGATCTTGTGTTGGCAGATAATATAACTAGTCCACAGTTTTGTAAGAATTAAATTCAATATTCCACAGTGTGTTAATGGAATAGGCACGTGCTGCTTTGCTTGCTTGTGCAGGAAATTGCATTCGGGTTGACCAGTTTCTGTAGTAAGCCTATTTACCTCTAATCTCTCCGCCTTTCATACTACTGGAATGATGGTACATGGGCATTTTAGTTAAAACCTACCTCTGTTTTAAGTTTTGTAAGAATCAAAATGTGTAGGACCGTCAATTTTTATATATTATCTTTAATTTTAGTCATATTTTGATTTATTATTTATTTTATCAAAATACCTATACTTTTACTTTCCATTAGGACGACGCATAACGATTGAAGCAATGCAAAAGAAAAACAGAGAGGAAAAATCAATATGTAGTTGAATATACATATATATATATATATATATATATTTGATAACTTTGTCTCTTGTTCGGAAATGGCCTTAAAAAAATCTTACTGCTTACAGCTTAAAACATTCAAGTATTGAATAGCTATAGGTTTCTCTGACTCCAGGACCTGTTTACGTTGGCAATTCATTCATTTGATTATGTACTGATATGAGTATCTCAGACTATCCGAAGCTGCAATCAATAAAAATCTTGTTATCTCATCAAACCCATGTTGGAAGCCACAACCCGGACGACCAAAGGAGTGGTAACCTGTATTTTTCTGCTCTTCCAGGACAAAAAGCCAAATGTGTATCCTTTGGTTGGAGCAATCATCTTGAAATGCACAGTGAACATGATCTTCTGGCCATAGCTGTTGAAAACTAATCTATTTGGTGAAACAGTTGCATTAATTCCATGAGGAGAAGATACTACAGCTTTATAAATACTCCCCGGTCTCCCAACATTTGTCACAGTTCGATTCACTGAGAAGCTGTCTTTAAGGTCTGGCACCGCGATAGATGGATAATTCAGGTCAGAGGCTGTTCTGAGAGATTGAGTACAAGTCTCATTGTCTCCTGTAATCAGATGCAGTAACTTCTCATCATAACCAAGTGAACAGAGAAATGCTCTGTAGTCCTCTGGTTGTGCATCATAGATGAGGCCCGGGTCGGTAGCTCTTCTTGGTTCAGCAAAACCTGATCCGTAGTCAAACGAATTGCCCCTTCTTCCTTCAGGATCAACTGTGATGACCTTGTGGTTCTTATCCTTGATGGTAGCTGCATTGGTCTTATGTAGTCAGATTTTTGACAAGGTTCTGAATGGAGCTCCAAGTAGATGATTTTTTATAAAGAGGGTGAGAAGATACTTTTTTACTTCCACTTAAAGTGGATACCTTCTTTGTTTGTGCTTCCATAGTAGAAACCTTAAACGTCCAGAGAGCATAGTAGCAAAATGCAACCACATAGAGTAATCAAACATATAGGAAGAATTATAGACATGGTCTGAAACTAAAGAATATACCAGTTGTCATGATGGCAGATTTGATTGCAGATGGAGACCATGAGGGATGAATAGATTTTATCAGAGCTGCAATTCCTGTTACATGGGGGCAAGCCATCGAAGTTCCAGAAAGTATGTTGAAATGCATTTTTCCCACTGCTGGAGACCAAGCTGCTAGGATGTTCAGTCCAGGAGCTGTGATATCAGGCTACAAAGCAAAAGATTAGAAGATGAGCAGAATTTGTAATGACCATGAAGAAGAATTTGAGGAAGAAATAAACAATATGCTTTATCAAGAATTTCTTAGCTTACCTTTAAAATTTCTGGGGTTAAAGAATTTGGACCTTTGGAAGAAAATGCTGCAATACGAGGGGCGGGTTGAGATCCCAAAACAGTCTTGGCAGGGAAAATCATAGCAGTTGGCTTGCTGTTAACAGCAGAAGTTAGCCTGAGTAAGAAACAGACAGAATTCTAAGCCTATCCAATCAAGTTTCCATCTTCAAAAGCTTAAACTAACCGTGTGTTGTTAATGTAGGACAAGATTTCGTTCCCTGTACTCCTTCCTACCATAGCTGATGGGATTAGAAAAGGGATTGCAACATCCTTATCTTCATCATCAATAAGAATCATTCCTATTCCACCAGCCTCTTTCACTATCAAGCTCTTTGCCACCTTTGATTGCATAGAACTCTCAGCGTGTCGACAGACCAGAATTTTCCCTCTAGTCTTGGTCTTACTCAAGGAACTCTCTAAGCAGTAACTGCAGGAACAAGTAAAAGAGTAAAAATAACATGAGGTTTTCTTACAAATTGACATCTGAACTTCGCTCATTTCCAAGTACCTGTTGATTCACCTGGATTGATAAGGAGTAAAATATCCAGCATAGGCTTCGGATGCGGAAATGATTCTTGCAGAAGCATTCATTTTGAAACGACTGAGACTTTCACCCTGTTTGACAACTGAGAACTAATAAGCTTTGTTGTTTCCATGGTGAAATATTATTGCAGATAAGGTGTTATTACCGTAAACTTAGAACCATCTCCTAGAAGAATGTCAGACATGAAATCCCTATCTGTTGAACCAGCAGCTACTGTAATCATCCAAGGGGCAACATTTGTGGCAGAACCTTGGCTTCCAGCATTTCCAACTGAAGCAACAACCAAAATTCCATGGCTAGCAGCATGGAATGATCCCACAGAAATGGCATCATTGAAATAATCTCCCTGGGGAGCATCAGGACCAATAGACAGAGACAAGATATGAACCCCATCTCTGATGGCATCATCAAATGCTGCTAGTAAGTCAACATCATAGCAACCGGAGTCCCAACAGGTTTTGTATACAGCAACCCTGGCCATTGGTGCACCACCTCTTGCTCCCCCAGCAGCCAAACCCTTGTAGTTCACATTTGTCACATGGCGACCAGCAGCTGTAGACGCCGTGTGGCTGCCATGGCCAGAGCTGTCCCTGGGGGATCTGTATGACACCGTATTTACAGAATCTTCCTCAGCCTCATAGCCACTGAAATAATACCTAGCTCCAATCACTTTCCTGAGTGCAAAATTTAAACATCAGTTACCTACATAAGTAATGCACCAAGAATATTAGAATAGAGATTTTGAAGAGAACCTGTTGCAAGATGAAGCATTAAATGCTTCTCCTGTTTGGCACTGACCCTTCCACTGGATTGGCACTGGGGGCATGCGAGCATCACTGAAACTTGGGGATTCAGGCCATATCCCTGCATGTGTCCAGCCGGGGAAAATTTTATCATGGCGGAACAAGAATTTCTGGCTAAGATCAAATAGAAAGTAGTGAATGAAGCGTTCCTCACCTGTATCTATGAACCCAACAATAACATTGGCCTCTTTCTCGGTGGAATACCCAGGAATCCCTGCGCTTTCGTTTCCCGCAAGGCCCATGAAATCCCAAGAATGAGTAGTGTGCAGCTTTCTTTTCTCATTAGGAAATACAGAGACCACTCCCGGCATGTCTGCCAAGTAATATGTTTAATGTATTATTGAATCTCAAAACAGAAAGGAATCAGGATCCTACGAAACGGGAAAACGTGGAAGAGAAGTTATTTTATAATGCATAAATTATTACCAGCAATTTGTGAAGCTTGATCGTCGGTTAACTTGGCTGCAAAGCCTCTGAAACCATGCCTGTAACTGTAAACATGAGAAGACTTTGCCTTCAACATGCTGTTTGTCATTCAGAAACTTCAGTGCCGCTCAAATGAAAAAAGTCTATAAACATTTCTAATGAAGAAGAAGAGCAAAATGTAGAAACAAGAAGTGAAAATGTACCTTCCACCATGAACAGCAGCAAGCAAGTGGTGATTTTGGCGCAAAATATCATCTGGGCCGTGATGGGTTTTACTTCCCATATAAACTACATACACCTGTAATAAACAGAGTAGTGCGAAGATTATGTAAGACACCCGAAATGCGCCAAGAAAAAAAAAGTGAGGAAGAGCAGCTGAAAGTCAATAACCTTGGAGGAGTAGGAAATATGGAGTTGGAGGAGAAAAACAGCGAGCAATAGCAGTACACTGAAGAAGCAAAAACAACTCTTACCAGAACCCATTATCCGAATGAGAGAAAATATTGGGAATGCAGAGAAGAAGAAGATGAGGTGGGTAGAAAGAAAGCAAGTGGAGAAACCAAGTAAGAGAATGTTTGAGGAATTTACTGCATTGGGGAGAGTGAAAAGGGTTTTATAAGAGGATTAAAAGAAAAAAGTACAAAACATCCCAAACGCCGATAAAACATAAAAGGAAAGAATAATTTGCTGAGCGCACTCGATGTGCTGATTCCAATAAAGAAAGAATGAATTAGACAAGACGTGTGGGTTTTTGTGGGTTTTGGAGGAAAAGCAAAGCAAGCAACGGATTACAAACAACAATGGCTTTTCAAGTAAGCCATGAATCCTGGAGACACCATTTTCAACTTGAACATTATATTATTTCTTCCCTTCACGCATTAACCATCTTGAGCTGCCATTATTTGCGGGTTTCTTCAACCTTTCAAAATAAATTTTTGGGTATTAAAAATAGCTGAAACAATTTTCTTTCTTGTCTTAGAGAAAAAGAAATTGAAAAGGGAGTTTTTACTGGTTAAGAATAATTACTTATGGAGATAAAGTAATAATGATTGCTAGTTGCCTTTTTTTTTTTTTCATTTCTGCCCGTTACATACAACGTATGAATAAGAAAGTGATTATTATAATCTGAATAGAAAATTGATTCACGTGAGAAGTGAACCCTTGTGGGTCAATGTGAGTGTTCTAATTGCAAATCCCCCTTTTCCTGTGGCTCTCTGCCCATCATCTCATTTTCTTCTTCCCAACTGTCCTGCCCAGATCCGGGGTAATTGGCATGACCAAGTTATTAATACCCAGAAAAACATACATTATATGCATATTTTATAATTGGTAAAATTAATTAATTAAAATTATATATATATATATATATATATATATATATTAAGGAGGCAGTAAAGGAGTGAGCTATTGGAAAATCAATCATGTTAAGATGTAATGCGGGAGCGATTCAGGTGAGGAGGAGTGGTGTGTTGACTAAAAAATAAAGGGAACATGCTTTTCGGTGCTAGAAAGTAAACTCTCCTCTTAATTAAATTATACGCACCGCTTCAGAATCGCCCTCCATGTGAACTACTTTAAATCACCATATGACCACCCTCCTTTCCATACACTCATCATATATATATATTATATATTATATATAATTTATTTATTTATTTTCCAATATTACCCTATTTCTTGTTACGCATTTATGACCACTTTTTATATCCAGAAGAAAAAAAAAAAAAAAAAAGCCAGATGGTTTGAGTTTTAGTGGGTTTAAACCATTAAATAGGAGTTAATTGGGTTGCTGAGCCCAAAGTCCAAGCTCACAAAGTCCATGACTTTTTATATATATATAAAAAAAAAAATCTACTAAATTTATTTACCAAACATGAATTAATTATATCAATCACCTAAAAATAATTACGAACAGTATATTGCATTATTATTATTATTATTATTATTATAATTCTTTAACATCACTATCTCTACTTATATTATTATTTTTTTAAAGATATTTTGGGTAAGTGTACAAAACATCAAGATTTTAATTTGATAGGTAATAATAGTTTAAAGCTGAAGTCTCACTTCAATAATGTAATTTGGTCATTCTGGTTGGAAGGCAAAAAATTAAGAGTAAATCATGTACTACAATTATTTTTTTAACTAAAAAAAATGTTATGTTAAATTTTACTTTTATTGTGACTATCTCGATTAAAAAATAATTAAATTAAATTAATCGTTATAATTTCTATTAATATTTTAATAAATTAAATTAAATATTATAAATTAAGAAATTTTAATTCATAATATACTTATAAAGTAATGACTACATTTTCAATGAGTTGAAATTTGTAATGTAAAAATTTGTAATCATTAGACCCACTGTATTGTATCGGATATATACCAAAATTTTTTATATTTTTTCTTGAATTACATAATTATTTTATGAAAAAACAAAAAAAAAAATTAAAACTAAGCATTGAATACCACAATTCAATTTTAATCCAACACAATAATTTATGACAAACTATGTAATACCCTTGATTAATTAATTTTAATGTAATTAAAATTAATGTAAAAATATAATTTTTTAATTTTTTAATTCTTATTTAATGTAAAAATAAAAAAAATTAAATAAATGATGAAATTGAAAATAATTTTAGAGAAAAATGATAAAAATTTGGATTATGGAGATATTTTTGAAAGAAAAATAAAAAATTATGGGTCAAAACGTAATTCAAAAAAATTGTACAACGCAGGACACCCAGTCAGCAGCCCTGACGAATCGGAGCAGGCTGCGTGACAAGGGACGCTGATGCGGTGCCACGCGGTCACGCTGGTGATCTGCGTGCCTGCGATCAGACGGTCCAGATCAAACGCGATCGACTGTCCAGATTAAAAAGAAACTGATATAAATAACCATCTTCACACCAAACCCTAACCTTAACTGCCAGACCCTCCCCGCCGGAGAAGAAGACCAAGTCGTCGGGAAGGGAGCCGACCGCCGCCACGCCGGAGCCACTTTCGACCGCCAAAAGAGGTAAAAATTTTCTCATTTGCTCAAAATTCAATTTTAAATACCCACATGGCCAAATCAGAGCAAAATGACCAGCAGATTGGCCTGAAATCGCGGGCAAAATCCAGCGGCGCCGCCGCAAGAAAAAACAAAAACTGCCTATAATGAGGCCCTTCTCGATTCCCGTTTCGTGTAATTTTTCCACCACTGTAATCATCATTCATTTCTCTACAGGTTAACCAAAGCAAAACACCCGACCGCGAAGGTGAGCTGGCTTAGCCGTCGCACCGGAGAACCCCGCCCTTAGTAAGTTTCGATTTTTCAATTTTTTTTCGTCAACCGAGGCCCATTAACGTGTTTTCTTACAGAGATTAGTACAAAACCGATCGAATTCAGCCAAAAATAACCGAAAATAGCCGACTCGAGGTAAACCATCGTCGGAGCACGGCGACACCGCCTTGCTAGAATTCTGAAATTGGCCAAAAGGGTTTCTAACACTGATTTTAGATTTTTTGGGATATTTCTATATACTTGAAGCGCATTTTAATCCCCAAAAAAATTCATGAAACCCGAGGACCGCAAGTAGACGCAGTCAAAAGTTTAGCATTCAGACATCAATTTGAGTAAGAATCGCTCATCTTATTATCTGTTATAGAATTGAAGTTTAATCTTAAATAATATGGTATTTTGTGAAATTTAGAAAATATTCATAGTTAACTACAGGTTACTAATGGAGGTAGAACCGATTATTTACTATTATTTGCTATGTTTAACCGATTGCCTAATTTTACAGTTTTCGAGTGTATGATAATACACTGAAATTGGTATGATGATGCGATTGTATTCCTTTTATACATGTTTTTCTTGTTTTGTGTGACCATAGTTGAATTGAGAAATTGAAAATTAAAGATAAATAGAAAATTATTTGATTAAGTGGATTGATGAAACGACAGTTTTACTGGATATTCTAGAAGATTGTAGATAGACTAGGTACATAGAGAACCCTACCGTAAATGTTACCTCATACCGGACGAGGTATGGGGACAGCCCGTTTTACCCTCATACCAGACGGGGTATTGAGGAATGATATCTTTTGGCGCTCATAGCAGACGGGGTATGAGGACGGTCCATTAATTGAAAATATAAAAAAGAGAGTTCATGCGTAGTGGGAACATCCCTATGGACCCCTATGGATACCAATAGACTGATAAAATGGAAAGTTGTTGTTCCGACTGATTGTATATAAAATTATGATATGTATTATATTATTGATTTTATAGGTTGTTTTTCATAATCTCGCTACAGTAAGTATGCGGTAAATAATTTTATTTATGAAAAACGAATTTACTTAAATTATGAAATTTATTAGTTTTTTTTTTAATTTCTACCAACATTCATTTCTGTGTTAGTGAGTAGCGTGATATTCTTACTGGGTTAGTGTAGCTCATTCTTTCATTAACCATTTCAGATCAAGAAGACCAGGATCTAGAACCCGATCCACAAGAAGATTGCGAGTAAGATGTTCAGTTTGTTTACTTTCAATTTATTTCTTTGGTTATTTGTTGTTCTTTTAGAAGGGTTATTCCCAAAAGCCTTATTTGACACTTTCAATTATTGTGTAAGGAATGTAAATTCTAATTTATTATTTCGCCTCCGCACTAATTTTATAATTTGTTACCTTTGAAGTTTTCGGGGTCATTACAGTTGGTATCAGAGCCGCGTTCCTCGAAATCATTCCTTACACAAAATTCTTAGGAAACACCAAAAACAATGAATTATCACTTAACCGTTCCTTGTGAAATGTAGCTCAGGAGGATTCGCTTCGAGAGGATGTTGGCCGGTTATTTGAGATGCTGGAGAGACTCATCGCTGTCCAGCAGGCCCGGGAGGAAAGGAGGGAGCTACCTGACCCTCTCTCGCTGCCACAGGTTGAGCCACCCCTGCAACGAGAGGATCCCGAGCCACCCTGGTATGACTCTGCTCCTCTACAGTACTACCCGGCACCACCACAATATGATTAGGTGCCCTAAGCATCACCACCACAGTATGGCCCGGTGCCCCAACTGCATCACCCATCACCACCACAGTACAATTTGGTGCCTCTACCGTATCATCCAGTATCACCACATGGCCATCCAGTCCATCTTCAGCACAGTCCAATCCCTCTTCCACGAGACTCAGTACCTCCCATGATGGACCCGAGCTACATTGAGAGATATAAAAGAATAAACTCATTTACTTTGCAGGAGGATCCTCCGTTGAAGAGGCCGAGTACTGGTTAGCTGAGATAGAGAAGGCTTTCACGACTCTTGGAGTGATTCCTGAGCAGAGGGTTATCCTTGCTACCTACATGCTGGTGGGAGAGGCAGGCCGCTAGTGGCAACTCAAGCAGGCCACCCAGCCCATTCTATTCACTTGGGAACAATTCTTGACGACCTTTCATGCAGAGTACCTTTCAGAGCATCTATGATATTTGAAGAAAATAGAGTTTGTACACCTGATCTAGGGGGACGTGACTGTATCAGAATATGCTTGAAAGTTCCTAAATTTGGGCTAATATTCCTCTGAGAGCATGATAGATGCGCAGGAGGTAAAAAAATTCGAGTAGGGTTTCCGTCCTGAGATCAGACAGCAATTATATGCAATTCGAGCTCAGTACTTACTCAGCTGTTCTGGCCAGACATAGTTAGTGGAGAGGAACCTTCACATTTTTCCTTCAACAGTGGGGAACCTCAT